CATGTCATTAGCACCTCTAGTAATATATTTACTGAGAAAACTGTTGACTTGTTCAATACTTATTTTACCCGCTGTATTTAATCCTCAGATTGATATGATGAGTCACATTGTCAGACGTCTTTATCCTCTGCAGGTTTTTAGAGTTTTCTCTAAAGCTTTTGTCTAGTTTCATWGATAAATATAGACATGGTCACTGGCAGCTGGTCCCGAACGTTGCTCACAAATTTAAACTTTAAGGCAATACAGTATTACTCATGGGTTTAAAAAATAATTTGTGCGAATTTTGTTTTTACCTTAAAGTGAAGAAAAGTGTTCTTTTTCTAAATAAAGTAAATATTGAGATGTTTTTAAGCCAAAACAACTGAAAGATTTGTTTGTTGCCTAAAATGTCTCCCAAATATGTGTTTTCACTGTTGTCTCAAGAATGGGTGTTTTGGGACAACAGGAACTAGTTTTCACAGTTCTTACAACTCATTCTAATTTGATAATGTTCTTATCTGTGTTTTTTTTTTGTGTGTGTGTGTTGACATTATGATCACCTTTAACATTGCAACAATTATACAGTATATCTTTTAAAAACACCTACAACATATAAAGGGATAGATGTATCTAAATTAATGCAAGTTTTGCAGCTACGTCAGAGTTCAGTTTCCATACTTCTGCATTAACAGTCCTAGAAAATATTATCTTTAATTAAGGAGGTGAATGAAATTAGATCTGTGATGCATCAAACCTTTGGAAAGATCACCCACCCCGGAGTCAGTAAATGTCTGATACCGCCTCAGGCTGCAGGACACTTTGGGAAATCTTCTCCAGGAGTGAGTTAATGAAAATAGATAAGGCTTTGAAATGCTAATGTTGACTTTTGGTGTCTAAATCTGGCGACAGCTCGTGAGACTCGCAGGTTCAAAGACACCGGTGTGTTTATGAAAGCAAGAGTAAAATTTATCTTCACCTTTGCTCATATAAACACAGTCACTTTGGAGCTTCACTCATAGACAAAGTGATGTGCAGAAACCAAGAAAATGAGATATGAGAATAGAAGGAAAAACTTTCAGTTCTTTTGTCAGGAAGTTGTGATGATGCTCTTCAAAGCTGAAGCTTTTTGGATTACTGGAAGTGCATTAGTGGAATAAAAAAAAACCAATGGGATTGTTTACATAAAAAAATGTGTTTTCGGAGCTCATATTGTTATTTTTGAAAGCATATTGAAACGCCACCCTTGAATTTTCATTCAGTCTGCCTAAATGCAGACTTTTTTTTAATGAAGACGCCACAGCTTTACAAGCCTTCGACTCTGAGCACATTAGAACAACWATACATATGTTTTTGGATGACATTTAGCCTTCCCTCCAGCTGTCCTTTCCCAGATACTGTTCTAGAAAAGTGTCCATTTTGTCCGGATATTTGGTCTGACATAACTCCCAACACTTTTGTGATCTTGTAGTTTAAGGAGGAACTAAATAAAACTTTGACTCCGTCATCAGTCCACACAAGGGATTTGGGTCTTGCTATCTCCATCATGGTCATAAGTGGTTTTGAACCCAGAAGTGCAGATAAGACTCAGGAAGACAACAAAGTAAAGAAGAAGAATTTATTAACAAAAAAATGAATGAGCCGATGAGGCAGCAGACTGCTTACAAACCGTTTACAACAAAAACTCTGGTTCTGGAACTGGACACTGAACGGCTATGGATGGTGAGTCCCTGACATATGCTCACAAGGCAAAAACCCACACTCTTAATTTAATAAAATAATAATAAATGCAAAAGTTCACAAATTATTTTTATTGAGTTTTTGTGCACAAACCATGGAAGGCATAATGCACAAGTGATGTGACGGTGGAAAGAAAGGGAATATAGAGGTAAGGGATTATAGGAGACARCTGAGCTGACAGGAGACTGGGAACAGGTGAGAGTAGCTGACTGAGACAAAACACAGAAAGCTGACTGACTGAGGATGAATGAGAAGGAACTCGGGAGAAACAAAACACTGATCAACATCTGAATTTAAAGAAACAAATGTCAGAGATAACTGATAAAAAAACAAGAACCCAAAAGGGAAAACATGATATACATAACCAAAAAAAATACATTATTCATGACACCATCCTCTTGTTGTATTTACAGTTTTACAGTGCTTTAGGTGCATGATCCACTCCTTGTTTCCTGTTTGTGTTTATTCATGGCAGCATTATAGTGCCACATACAGGCCTGAAAGAGCTACTACGGATATYTGTGTGCTTCTTTGTGTTTACATGCAGATAAAACCATTTTTAGAAATGATTCTGTGATTACAAAGAAATAAATTGTTTGGGAAATACAGCGTACTGGTGTGGGCTAAAACTGGTTTTCTGTGCTTGTCCTGCTGAGGGATTATTCTTCGGGATGATCAGACGCCTCCCTAACGGAGTTGTTGCTGCAGATAAAGCTCCCGCACTTTGTGTAAATCCTGTCAATTAACGGGATGCTTCTCTTGCCTTGTGTGAACAGGTGATTAAAAACTCAGAGCATTCACACTCCTGGAAATTAGGTCAGCCTCTGAAGACTCAGAAAGGAACAACTACAGAGATGAAAGCCGACAGACTTCTTCTGCAGCGCGGGTCTTTACTGACTTTCTGTGTTTCAAAGCATGGAGCACCTGGTACTGTTTTAGGTCAAACAAAGARAATAAATTAGGTTTGAGTTGAGAGTGGTTGTGCTGCTGCTGGTGGTGGAGGCATTCTTCTCCAAATAATTTGAGTTATTAGAGCCAGGTTTGTGACTGCTGTCAGCCACAGATGCTTCAAAGAGGCCCTGTTATCCAGACTGTGTCTCCTGTGCTTCCATAAACTTAAATAGCCTTTTAAGCTCGCAGCTCCGTGCTCCGAGTGATGTGACAGTGTTCAAAATGCTGATACTCACTGCTGAGCTTCCTCACATGATTCCTCTCCCACACAACCCCACCTCCCCCTCCCCCTCGTTGCTCTTGTTGTGTAAAGTGCACATCTAGTGTAAGTCTAATGTGCCTCAAGAGGAGAGTCGCTCCTAAGACAATGTCATGGGAAAGAGAAGTTGCTGTTTAATTGAAGTCAGAAAAGTTTCTTCAAAGTTTTTTTTTTCTTCCCCCCCATTTCATAAGCTGTGAGTCATCTTCTGCTTCCTCTCAAATAAAACGTCTGGGAAGGAAAATCATGTGGGAGGCCCCTTTCTTATTGTCTCTGAAAAAAAATTGTAAGCRATTCAGCGATAATTTAGTCTGAAAGTCAAAGTTTCCGTTTACCTGCGGAGATAAAATGAACTGCAGCCTCCCACTTTACAGATCCTTGATATTTCTGCATAAAGGATGACTGATAAATGTTTCCCACAAGTTGTGACGATGGAATCATTTGGTAAAGTTGCTCCATCTTGTGCTARTGGTCTTTCTGAAAATAGGTTTGTTTTATTCAACCCAATCACCACGTTTTTGCGGGGATAAAAAGATATCTAAAAGTAGTTTCACTGGCCTGTGACTTTTGGCTACTACTTGATGACTGACGTTTGTGACAGTCCATAGCTTGGAATATTTTTCTGGGTTTTTCACGTTTTTTTCCTTGCGAATCACAAAGGCTTCGCAGTTTTGAACGTAGTAGAAAAAACTAGTGCAAAAACCTTGATTTAAAAGAGATTTGTGGATGTCTGAAAGCTGATTCAAATAAGACGCTTGTATGAAGCGGTGACTGGAAGGAATAAATATATTCTACCCAGGTGGGACTGTTTTTCAGTGTTTCTTGCATCCTGCTGAGCTTATCAGCTGAGCACTTCCATTATAAGCTCATTTATAATCTGTTGTTGTGTTTGAGCTTGCAGCAGACTTTGGCAAACAATGTTTGTTTGTTTTGGGGTTTTGTTAATGCTTGTTAAGCAAGGTCAACCACAATATATTAACAAATGTGTAATACATCAGAATAAACCAAACTAAATCACTCAAAGATTGTTGCCAAAAATATTTTTAGCCTAAAAACATGACTCAAATTTTACAGTTGCTCATTCTTGTTAGACAACATTTACAACTAAATACAATAATATCAAACTGAACATTGCAGTGGTTTTGTGCCTCTGAAATTTAAAGATTTTGTTGCTTGAAGAATAACGTATTGCATCGGAAACCATCAAACYACACATTACAGTTTTTGCTGTGACAATGAAATATTTTCAAAATTAAAAATAGTAACAATTTTGAAGTTCTTTACTCCATTTGAAGAGCCAAACTTCAAAAAGAATTGGAGAATGCCAACTCTCTTGTGATATAAAATGTTGGCTATCGGGTGAAAGCATAAGGAGAAGGAACGACAAAGGATTTGGTCAAGGATAACCATAAAACAAAACAAGATGTCAATTCATCCATCGTCTAAGCTTTAATAGCTTGCATGGTGGCAGTATTTGTTTAGAATTGCCCCATGTAGTTTCTTCTAAAGGCCTCCACATGTTCACTCCAAGCTGCCGAAATCCACTCTCATTGTTGCAAGTGTGTGATGAAAATTGTCATTTTATGTGCAGCTTCGACTCTTCCACCCCTTTTTGTCACGGCTCACCRTGAGAACTTTTCACTCCCTGCTCCAAGTAAGAAATAATCATGTGATTGGGCAGAGGTTTGTGGGCGTGTTTGCTTATGCTGAAAGTGCTGAAACGCTACATTTTGCTTTAATTACTCACTTCCAGAATCCCACKGTTGTACCTGGAAGCAGACATTTATAAAGATAGTCAAACGGTCAAAAACACAGATAGTAAAACAAACATTGTGCACGGAGGRGTCCATCTGACAAAAACTGTGGCTCTTTAACTGGGACMGATTTTTAACGGCAAATATGTTTTTTTGTTTTGGTTGGTTTTTGTCTTGTTTCGTTTTTGCTAACGGGAATAAACCATGTGCAGTGACATGTACCACAGCAGGAGGGGTTTCCCAGGAGCTCGATGCGGTGTGYCTCAGGGGCTATAAAAGGTGTGTGTAAAAACAAACAYTGAACAACCACATGACCACRTGTCAACTGCCTGGCTTTGGATCGAGTATAATAGGTCCTTTAGGCAGATTGGTCCTCGGTGACAGCACAAACAAAGACCGATTCATGGTTCTTGTATGGACAGAAGACAACAATGAGTTCCATTCTGGCTGWAAARCTCTGGACCAGCTCCTTGCCCCTGCCTGGAGGAATGGAAATGGGAGTTCACCTTACAACTCTACATGTGTTTTGTGGACTTARAGAGAGCATTTGACCAWGTYCCACRAGSTAYGCTGGGGTGGTCCACAAGTAMTGGATTGTGGGTCTGTTGGTACGAACCATTCAGATCCAACAAACGGTGTGAGAGTTTTGCTGGCTGTAAGTCAGAGGCTGATTTCACTGGATTGCATCTGAACACTTACACCTCTGCAAAACTTTATTTCACAATAGATTCTAGACTATGGAAAAGCAAAGTTTTGGTTCTTTGTCACACCCCTTCAAAATATACCTTATTAAAAAGTTTCAATAGTTCAGGTGCAGAAATGCACCAGCCAAAATGACACGAAGTGAGCAAGGCGCTGTATATTTGCTGGGTCGAGCCTTTCAGAGTCAGCGTGTGTAATTTCCTGGGCCACTGGTTTCACATGAAAGGGTTATGATGACCTCTTGCCCAATGACCTTATCATGTTTTTACACAAGCAGACTCGTGCAAAGTGGTAATCAGAGCGGCTGGTGCCATAAAAAACAATGTTACACCAGTGTGAAAATGATGATTACCTTGCTTTAAGGTGGGTTATTTCTATATTTCCCAGCTCTAATGCATTACAGAAACATTTTGGTGTGACAGTTTTTTTTTTCTTGAAGCCCATTAGGCTTGATGGCCTCATGTAGTTTTTATGCTATGTCACATGTGGTACTAAGGTTGATTAAGAATGCAAGATATTTCATTAGATTTACAAGAGCAAGAGGCACAATAAAAGTTTCTTGGAAAATAAAATATTTTGCATAAGGGATGTTCTGAAGACACACAATGCACACCTTTTAAATTTAAAATTGAGGGCTGCAGGATTGAATAATTTTACACTCTGGAGAACCAARTTTGGATTATTTTTTTATTCTTCTGATATGTCTTAATAGCATGCAAGAAAAAGCAAATAATAAGATGCCAAAAGCTCTCAGGCAAAAGTAGAACTGCCTGCTTAAAACCAGCAGACTGAAATGAAGCTCATCTGTTAAATTGGTTTGGTAAGTAAACCTTACTCGGAGGCTCATCAGAGAGATAGTTTGTCCCTCATTTGCTCCCCGTTTACCACTGCACACAACTGACAGACAGACTGACTGACTGGAGCAGCYTGCACACCCAACACCAGCTCTTATCAGTACGATGTGGTTATTTACATTGTACCTGCTGATTGAATCAGAAGTGATTTACAGTGAACAGGACAGGCTGCAGAGGCTCATTTCGGGTGGATCATTGGTCCTCATTTTTTGTACAATTATGTGGACATTCATCTGTTCTGTGTTATCAGGAATCAAGGTAAGAGRCAAGGTTTTCCCACAACAGGAGTTTTTCTACAGTTGGCATCAGCCTTRAAGCAAACTAACACAATGAAGTACTCAGCATACTGCAATCAGAAGTTTACATCCACTCATGGGCTTAAAAGTCATTTTATTTTGGGCTTTTATTAATTTAGCTGAACCGTTCTTAACACAACTTAGTGAGTAAAACTCTCATACTTTTACTTTTAATAATATTTCTGTATAATTTATTTCACATTTAGTCAGCCGTACACCAGTGTATATAAGAGGACATATTATTTGAATTATTTAAGAACAAAAATAGCTAAATCAATTGCATTGCTTTATAAAGTAAGGGATTTTCTGAATGATCATGCAATGTATATGTTGTACAATGCCCTAATTGTTCCACATTTGGTTTATTGTGTTGAGGTATGGGGAAAGGCATGTCATACCAGCACAAAATCTATTTTTGTTTTGCAAAAAAGGGCTATAAGAGTTATCACCCGAAAACATAGCAAATATCCATCCCACATATTGTTTTGTAAATTGAGGTTATTGAAATTCTATGATTTAGTTGATTATAATATTTTGTTAGTTATGTATAAGGCACACCGAAATATATTACCCTCAAACATTCAAAAACTCTTTGCAAAGAGAGAGAGCTGTTATAATCTTAAGGGGATACAGATTTTTAAGAAACCCAAATTCAGAACCAGTTTGAAAGAACGATGTACCTCTATTCAAGGAGTCAAATTGTGGAACGACTTACGAAATGATGTTAAAAATGCCAAATCATTGTACATGTTTAAGAGATTGTTAAAGACTGGATTTTTGAAGAAGTATGACATAGCATAAAGTGAGCTCATATTAACGTTATTATATTGACA